GGTTTTTTGTTTTTTTTTTTTTTGTATTTTTAGTAGAAATGGAGTTTCATCTTGTTAGCCAGGATGCTCTCGATCTCCTGACCTCGTGATCTGCCCGCCTTGGCTTCCCAAAGTGCTGGGATTACAGGCATGAGCCACCGCGCCCGGCTGATCTATTTCTTCTTAAGTTGGTTTCAGTGGTTTGCGTGTCACTAGGAATGTGTCCATTTCATCTAGGTTATCTACTTTGTGGATATACAGTTGCTCATACTCTTCTCTTCTGATATTTTGTAACTTCAGCCTGTATGTGTATATAGTATATAAATTAAGTCATAGTATATCAACCACTGTAGGCACGATTCCTAACCTAATTCCCCTTATATAATTCCCACAACTCACAGAATTTTCCCTGGAGGTGCAGAAGCAAGTAGACAGGAATGTCACCTTGAGACAGAATCAGGCAACGATGCAGCTGGACTGGAGTCTGGCACAGAAATCTGGTGACCCAGGTAATGGTTGAGATGGGGAGGTGGTCAGTGAAGCTTCGTGGTGGGACAAGATGCCCAAGAATGTGAAAACTAAGAGATTTAAAGATTAAAGGGAAGTGTGGGGTGGGTAGGGTGGGGCTGTAAGAGGAGAGCCCATCTGAAGAGGAAGGGACCTTGTTGGGGACTCTGAGATATTAACGGTGGCCTTGTCCTACAGGATGTGATACATATAGAACTAAAGACTGAAGGAAAGTGTGGGACGGGTGAAGCCAAAGGAAGGTAGCCCATCTCCATGAGTAGAAAGTTCTGTGCGGGGCGGAGGAACTCTGATGTGGACCCAGAGATTCAATCTACTCCAAGATTCAATCTTGGCCCTGTCCCGCAGGCCCTTCTGTGGTGGGCCTTGTCTCCGTTCCAGGGATGGGCAAGTTGCTGGCTGAGGCCCCCCTGGTCTCGGAGCCTGAGAAGCAGGTGGTTCTGAATGAGACACACCAGGGCTTGCTCCCCATCCTGCTCTCAGATGTCATCTCTGCCTTTCTGAGCAACAACGACACCCAAAACCTCAGCTCCCCAGTTACCTTCACCTTCTCCCACCGTGTGAGTGCTGGTGGGGTGGTGGGGGTGGGTGGGGAGTCTGAGTCCAGGCATAGCCTTGCTGCCCAGCTCAGCCCTGGGGCTCATGGGTCTCTTACGGGTACATTATCTCCCCAGGAAAGTCAGTCCTTCCCAAGCCGGCTTTGGGTAAGCATCTCTGAGCATCAGACCCACCCACCAGCTCACACATGGGTTCTTTTTCTTTCTTTCTTTCTTTTTTTTTTTTTTTTTTTTGAGACAGAGTCTCACTCTGTCAGTCAGGCTGGAGTGCAGTGGCACAATCTCAGCTCACTGCAACCTCCACCTCCCAGGTTCAAGCGATTCTCCTGCCTCAGCCTCCCTCGTAGCTGGGATTACAGGTGTGTGCTACCACGCCTGGCTAATTTTTGTACTTTTTTTTTTTTTTAGTAGAAATGAGGTTTCACCATGTTGGCCAGGCTGGTCTCAAACTCCTGATCTCAAGTGATCCACCTGCTTCAACCTCCCAAAGTGCTGGGATTACAGGCGTGAGCCGCCATGCCCAGCCCACACCTGTGTTCTGTTCCTGCAGTCGGTCATACCAAGACGGAAAGTGTTCTGTGTCTTCTGGGAGCGTGGCCAGAATGGATGTGGTCATTGGGCCACCACAGGCTGCAGCACAATGGGCACCAGAGATACCAGCACCATCTGCCGTTGCACCCACCTGAGCAGCTTTGCCGTCCTCATGGCCCCCTACGATGTACAGGTGAGACCCTTAGGAGAGGCTGCACTCTGCATTTATTGCTGTGTAACAAATCCCCACAGACGTAGCAGCCTTTAAAAAAAAATGCATTATCTCACAGCTATGGGTCAGCAAGCTGGCATAGCAAGATGGCTTTTCTGCTCAGGGTCTTACAAGACTGAAATCATCGTGTCGCCCCACCCCCAGGGCTGCCGTTTCATCGGAGACTTGAGGTCCTTCTCCAGGCTCCCTGGTTGCTGGCAGAATTCAGTTTCTCGTGATTGTAGGACTGAGATCTCACTTTCTTAGCTGTCAGGAAGGCATGGCATTCAGTTCCTAGAGGCCACTCACATCCTTTCTCACATGACCCTCTGGCAACCTTTCAGTATTCCTATCTGGAGGCCAAGGAAAAAATATTCCTTCATGCGGAATCCCGCTTAAGGTTCGTATCAGTCGGGGTTCTCTAGAGGGACAGAACTAATGGAATATATATATACATATATATACATATATACTATATATATGAGTATATATACATATATACTATATATATGAGTATATATACATATATACTATATATATGAGTAT